ACGTGACAATGAGCTTAAAATAGCAATAATATAAATATAATAAGCATAAAAGTGTGAAGATAGTACATATATTAAACAATACCAGAAAAAATGCATTTATTTTCGTTTACTGTCTAACACGTATTATATTATATTTGTTTTCTTATTATCCTCCATCTTCATACAGCCGGGAACAATAAGATTTCACATTACGTTCAACGCAATATTTTTCGGTTGTCATAACTGATTAGTTTAGATTATTAAATAACTCTGAAAATATACCTCGTAAAACTTTACAATTTCAAATTAAATCTTCAGATTTAGAACACACTTAATATGTTCTAATGTTTTTTTATACAGTTCGCTGTAAGCGCAAATAAATCTAATTTGAAAATTAATTTCGTTTGATTTGCTCAGATATACACATAGCGACATTAAGGAACGCGATGGCGCATTTTCTCTGCGAGGCGGTTGAGAATCTTTCGCAAGAAGCCTGATATAGGATGGGTGACCAAACATTTACTATAAACAGCTGCTACGTAGTAATATATAACTGTTGATCCTGGCTACATCTGCGATCGTTAATACACTCGCCCGCGCAGAAAGTCATGACACGTTCTCTTCTCTTTACTCGATTCAATCTAATAAAGAAGGCGTAACACAGCAGTGAGTAGCTCGGTGGCGAAGTGGACAAGCGCCGCGGCCCGCGATCGTTGTCGTTAAGCAACTTTCGCAAGGGTCGGTCACGGGATGGGTGACCAAAAAATTGTTATCTCGAGCTACTCCGTGCTTCGGAAGGCACGTTAAGCCGTTGGTCCCGGCTGCGTTTGCAGTCGTTAATACCCTCCAATCCGCATTGGGCCAGCGTGGAGGGTCATGCCCCATCCTCCTTAACCATCCATAAGGAAGGCCTGAACCCCTGCAGTGGAGACGTAAGAGGGCTGATGATGATGAATACAGCAGTGGAGAAATTACCGAGTTATCACGAGAGCAACAAGATCGCAAGCACTATCACACTCCAACGCCATGATTACATATTTTAAGTAAAAGCATGGGCATTTTCTTTTAATCTATATGTATATATATATAAAAGATGTCCTGACACACTAATAGTCTACGCACAGCCCAAATCGTAGAACGTATTTTTGGTTGTATGAAACTTCTTTCATTTTGGTATTTGAGTAGGTTAAGGCCCTAAGGTTTTAGGTTATATTTTATCCCCAAAATCGACAATTATAGAGATGAAAATGGGAGTGGAATCAAAAAGTTACGATAACAACTATTGTTTACCAATGATGTATTATAAAGTTGAGATGAGTTATCTGCGTGTGACATTGACAACAAAATAGCAAGGCAATTGCCCGAGTTTCACTTTAGTCACTTTCTAGCAAGCATTGTGGATAATGTCATTTTCACTCCTAATTTTCCATTCAAAGTTGTAGAAAAAAATTACTTCCTGCGTGTTTAAACAATGCACTAATTACACATTGAGAAATGCACAAAATATATAATTTCATGCGTAAGTGCTTTGATATATATATTTTTTTATATATAAAAAATAATAATACGTCATTGTTCAGAAAGTGATTGAACAAAGTCCATATTTTTAAACTTTCTCATTGTATTTCTTTATTTAGTATTACGCTAGTGATAATCATGATATACCTTTGTGGAATTCTTGTATTTACCCTTTCATTTGATATGCATATTGTAGTATTTGAAAGAAAAAAATATTTTATCATTAAATATAACGGCGTCGCACAGCTGTCATATTAGAAGACAAAACTAATGATACCACAATATCTAAAACTATTCAGCGGGTCTGAAGGTACGAGGTAATAAAGAATATTACATAACTCATCCTTTGCGGTTGAGTAAAAAAAGAAACGGTCCCATTCAAAACGGGACATCTGGTCCCTTAAATATGAGGCATAGTTTATATAAAGTGCACAATGCTATTAATGAGAAAAACATACACAACTTCTTTTCTCGTGACTTCGCCCGCGTAAATTAAAGCATATGTCACCCGCGTATGATGGATGGAGATTCCCGTCGGTGAAACAATTTTCATCATCAGATCAGAGTTTCCGAAAATTATAGACCTACAGGGTGAATTGAAAACTTAACCTGTTTAAAATATGAGATTATACTATTCACACTATTACTGAATATGAAACAATCATAAGGATGTTCTTAATACAAAATGCTTAAAATATCCACTTGGTCCCTGGCACCCTGAGATGGGAATCGAACCCACGACCTTTCGCAATCCGGGCGACTGCTCTAACCACTGAGCTACCCAGGACCTAACAGGACTGACGAATCTTTCAAGCACTTGTTACTTTTCGCTACTACACAGCGTATTCTCATCAATGTTCAGGCATCCACCCAAACATTTTGTATTAAGAATATTTTCCAGTATGGCTTAATGCGTACTAGTCTTTAACACTAAAACCGTAATATTTATAAACTGAGCGAAACACTGGATTCGGCGATATCTATAAAGATAACGCCAATAATAAAAAAAAAAGAAGAAACACCATGGTCGAATGTCGACCGCTGGGCTAAAACTATTGTTTTGCACAAATATTAGCAAATCACTAGAATAAAACATTCACAAAAGAAAAAAAAATGTAGTTATCTAGCTTTAAATATTTCGCAATTTTGACACAATCACTCCTTATCACATAAAACAGCAACTTTATGATAACCATGCACAGCGATATGTGTACACAATTTAATAGGAATAATAATAACACACATCATATTTCATGCATTCACTCCATACATTGACAATCAAATAAACAGTATGAAGCACCGTTCTGGTGCTTCTGGCATTCAAAACATACTAGATATATCGCAAAGAAAAGTCGCCGCTTGGCTGCAAAGCATAGATTCAGTGGAGACGCACCCTAACATATTATTATCATTAGCCTATTGATCACTGCAGAGAGACAGGCCTCCCATTAGATTTGAAGAATCACATAAGGAAAAGGTGTAATCCTCACTTAGGCCCAGTGGAGATATCAACGACCGTGATAGTGCCTTCCGAAATACGGGGGCATTTGAAACAATTGATTTTTGCTCACTCATGCGATGATGAGCCCTTTTGAAAATAACTTAAAAACTAAAAGCGCTTACCACTGCGCCATGAAGTTCCTCGTATATAATACAACTAAATAGCCTTCTAGCTACCTCACACTGCAGTATTTTTGTTAAACACTACAAGTAAATTAGCATATTACATCTAATTTTAAAATAACTTCAAAAACTGGTAATTTGTATGTATATTATAGCACAAATATCTTCACAATATGTCCCACAATGCTAATTTACCCTCCAAAACAATATGCTTGATAAAAATTTATCCATTTACATTAGACGACGGCCTTTGAATCGCCGATTTACTTGAGTGTACGAAATTTCAATTCATTTGACTCTGTAGTTTTGGAGAAAACCACTTTTAATATTATTTTTTCTTCTTAATTGGCTCTTTTATGAATGAGTCAATCCAAAGGGAAATCTGCTCAACACTTAATCGACCTGGATGGGAGGTGGGCAATATAATCTGTGACAGACAGATAGACAGACAGACAATAAAAAGAAATTATTTTCTTTTTAGAGGGACGTAAACATAATAAAAACTTGAAAGCAGTATTATATTATCTGTTAAAGTAACTAAAACTCTAATTTATGTTTTCCAAATCAAACAAATTACTGAAATCAATTTTAAATCTTATGTGCTAAGTTAAGATTTATGCTTCATATCAAATGCAAATCTAGAGATTTTGTGATGTTTGATGCTGCTATATGTATGTATGTACATAAATAGTTATTTTACTTGTAATACAATATTTTAAACAAAACAATTAATACTACATTTACACAACATAATTCGCACACATCATTGAAAGTATCAGTAACTCGCATATGCAATTATATCAACTAATAATAATTTGTAACAGAATTATTAATATCATAATATACCTCACCAAATTGTTAAAGCAGCCCAAGCAGCTAATAAAATATACTACTGAAATAGGCACAAAAAAAATCGCAAAAGCAAACTTGAGAGAATATATGAAATATAAATTCATTCACAAAACAATGCTAACTCATCAATATTGAGCACATAATATAGTATTTCTTATAGTTTTTGCATAGCACTTTTATCATATATCATCATATAATTTGAAATTATTAATATTATGATGAAATTATTATTAAAAACATTTACACTTCTTGCAAAAAGCAGCTTGATGTAACATAATATTTTGTACATTTACAGGTTTCAAGTTTCAATTTGATATCAGTATAATAAAGTTACACAATGCACTTGCAAAGTCCAGTAAAATATCATATGTCATTTCAAACAAACAGTACAGCTCAAAAGTAATGATGTAGCAACTATGTTACTGGTACATTTATTTTGTAATTTCATATAATAATGAGAATAATAATTAAATTCATCTCTCTTCAAAAAAAGGTTCATGATATTGGTCAATATTATGTCAGAACAATTTTCTTTTTTATTAGGATAGACTTTAAAATCTGAAGAGAAGTTAAGCAACTCACTTATTTCGACACCTCTAGGTTAATGTAAGATTGTATGAATCTTGTATTTTGTCTTCTGTGTTAGGTGGTTTAAGTACTTTCACTGTTTCGAATTTCCATACAACAAGGATTAACTTAAAATCTGATCAAATTGTTATCATCAAGTTGGTTTAATAGTAATTGAGTGCTTTGAAATTATCTAGCCTTTTGCCAGTGGCTTCGCCCATGTACATTATATAAAAAGAATCACAAACACTAAAATACTTTTGACACACTCATATAATGAAAGACTGCAAATACAAAGGCCTTATTATTATTTGTCTATAGTGGTCCTGACTGCCATAAAATTTTCACCAATATGAGGCAAATTACATACTTTAGATATGTTTCATGCGAATTGAAGCAACGAAGTGATCAGTTATAGCATTAGAAACTAAAGAATTTTTAAGTCATTCTCTAAATCATGTATTCCAGTTAACTGGCATTAGTTTGGCATCAGTACGTCAGATATAATTCATAATAAATATGAATATATTGAATTAAAATAAATATTAAGGTCATGATAATGTAACAAGATTGAAATTATAGGGGATACGAACCTCCTGACTGATCAACAGTAACATCAGTATTATCCAAAAGTTGGTAGTCTGCATTTGTTTCTAGGCCTTCTGCTATAGTCTGCCATGCTTCTTTAGAATGACTGTTATTACTGGTTTGGTGGATATTATCCACTTCACTTTCACCAATAGTACCCTCTTGCTTCACTTTGGGCTTCTTCTCTTCGCTGTCTTGGTGCGCCTTCCGTTTTCTTTTGACTGGTGTGAACAATCTGATAGGGCCCATTGCTGAAAAAATAGCCCATACATACAACAAGGTAAATTTATGCTAAAATTGTCAGTGTCAGAGTAAATTTATGCTAAAGGTGAAATTTTACTATTAGTTCAAAGTTGGGCGCTTTTAAATACTGAGATCCAATCTGAGTCCGTAAACACCAACACAGTGCCATAAGCAAAGGAAAGTACTTGTCTATTGTAAATATCCATATTAGTTAATTCTTTTATATATATAAAAGATATAAAGATATAAAAAAGATATATATATGAAGTAAGGTAAGGTTGAGGGATATCAAAAGAAACCATTATATCACTACTCAAATAATTACCAATCTTAACTGTTTGTTTTCTGTCATGTAAATAGTTCTTAAAGAGATCTAGTGCAATTCCTATGATCTAATTTTATATGAATTTTGACTAATACTAAGTGCAGTCTCAGCATAAATTTACTTTTACCAATAATACTAAAACGTTAAAATATCACCTGCTTTACTTAAAAAAAGATTTTGATTATGATACTATAATTAATATAAAACAAAAATATATCCTTTTGAAATTCATAGTTTGTTAATCAAAATCTCAATTGTGGTTATATCATAATTTCACTCACCTGATTGATCATCACAGCATGCCCCACATGTACAACTTGTAGCATGAGGAGTCAGTATACCTTCATCTATAAGGGCCTGAATACTTCTTCCACCAAATCTAATAGATCTTTTCCAGTCTTTACTCGAAGCTCTACCACACAAAGCTTCGAATTCACTTGGAGTGTACCAATCCATCCCATATTTAATACATCTCCCTCTACCTCCAGAGCCAAATCTCTGTTTGTGAAGCTCTGCTGATATATTCTTACAACGCACAGGGAGAATAGGCATGTTAGCAGTCTCAGTCCATGAACGAGCGTTAGCAGCACGTTGGGCGGCAGGCGCAGATGATGCGCCGGCGTCTTCATGCGCTGACCTTGCGGGCGACGAAGGATTCTGTATCACAATATGCGTAGGTTTTATATCTTCACTCACAGGCCCACCGGATATAAAACCATTATCAACACACAACATGGGCTTAAAATGTGGTAACTGGTCCGACGTAATCACGTTAAACGTAGTCCCTGTGATAAGAGTACCAACGGGTAACGATACAGGGACGGTGACCACTCCATTTGAATCGCTGGATAGCCTAGGGGTTTTGACCCCTCTCGCCAAAACTTGCCCGCCATCAGACCGGTCGGTTTCGTGCTCGGCCCCCGCCGCCAGTGGGTCGGCATCGGATACTTCGGTAATGTCCGGCATCACGACGTTGTCCGAGCTTCTATTCTCTGCCATTGCTTTCTTCCGCTCCGCCCGCCGAACCCTCTCCCGGTTCAATCGTTATAAAGAAAATACATCAATCGCATAAGATTCACGTATTCAGACATAAAATTATAAAACACGTCATGACAAGAGCATCCGCCATTGTAAAATCGAAAGACGAAAATGAAAACATTTCACGTACGCTGAGGTTAAGGCGGTAAATTTAAATATTTTATTTTTATACTACGTTTGTTATATTTTGGTGTCTAACACAGTTCTTTTAGTGTTTTTAAACATAGAGATTTTTCACAAACCAAAGAAAATATTTAAAACTGACCTGACATATATTTCGTTTTGTTTTTCGTAAAACTTGCTAAAAATCTAGATAGTCCAGAAAGAAGTAGTTCCGAAATCAAACTAGATGTCGCTACGATTGCACTTTTTACATGGTTTTTACTATAAGATATAGGTTTTACTATTTTTACTCTTTGACTTTTCTTAAGGCTACGATATGTCGTTATGGTTTGCACCTCAGATGGTTTGAAATAGTAAATAAGTAGTTAAGTGATAAGTAGAGTTTTCTTCTTCTTTTATTATATTCTGTTTCACATAGCATACCGTGAATTTTATTAACAAATCCATTACAGGCAATTTGTAATTCCAAATAATTATAAGCCGTAGCTAAAAAATGTATTAGATATTTATTTAAATTTGCATATTAGTAAATTAGTTTTCTAAACTCAATAAACAACTCATATTCCATTTGTACTTTTTCGTATTTGTATTGATATCTAAGTTTCGAACTTTTCGAACGGAAATGACTAACTTTGGTCCATTCGTTTCCTGCAAAAATCAAATTTGCTAGAGTCGCCATCTAGTGGTGGTGCTTTCTTGGTGCTTTCTTTTTTTTAAATACTTCCTCATTCGAGTGACTAAAATAAATTAATTTTTACATGTAAAATGAAAGCGAATTGAATGACAGACGGATAATGACCATGTCATATTCATATTCATAGTCATCAAATAGATTTTAATTGAAAATGTTTACTTAGGGGCCGTTCATTAATTGCGAAATGTTTTTTCAGCATTCTTTTAACCCATTGGTGATACATGGTGAGGTTTAAGACTTATACCCCATCTCCCACCAAATCCAACCCAATCAAATGTATTTTTAAGTATAAAAATAATCTTAATTTTTGACGCCGCTTTTCGGTTTAGTAATCGCGCTATTGAATAAAAATAAAGACACGTGATATATTACTATACCTGCCTCCCCCTTGTGATATTTCGTGATTTTTGACGAACCCCGTCCCTCTTCTGAGTCTCACATGATTAATGGACGGCCCCTTACTACTGTTAGACAAAAAATATCGAATACCAGGCATCATTATTTATCGATTGTACTACGAGAATCACTCACTGTCAGTGAGTTGCCACTGTAACTTTGACATTGACATTGCCTTGTGAGTTAATCTGTTAATGTTGGAATCAGTTGAAAATATAAGATAAACCCACGATCCGAATCATCGCCATCTTTCATTAATTTCATTTTCATTTTACATGTAGAAATTAATTTATTCACTTGACATTGGCAAAATTGTGCGAAATGCGCATATAAGCCATTAATAAAAGAAGAAGAAGAAGAAGATAAACCCACAGACCATCCATATGCCCAAAACGGTCATATGAACGTCACGTGTAGTATTTACACAATGTTATTATGATCTGGGGTGCGGCGGGAAATATAAAAATATGCCGAATTGTGCAATTGTTTCGTGTCGTTTGCGTTTGTTTGCTGTATTTTGTTTGTTTTCTTGTGGTTAGAGCAGTCGCTCGGATTGCGATAGGCTGGGGGATTTATTAACCATTTTTCCCAAAAAAAAATCCAGTCAAGCATTGTGAATGCAAAATAATTAATCTCAAGCAAAGCAAGGACCCTTCGAAAAATTTGCTCCACTCTGACTTAATCAGATGAGTAGGAATTGTTTAAATATACGAGTAATGTTTCCAAAAACAACACTGTGATTGGTGTGAGACTTCTCTCACACGCAGTGTTACTCCTCTATTTAGTGTGGTACTCCTCTATTTCCAACGCTTCAATTTTTAGTGTGGTACTAAAAGTAACAAAAAGGAAATGATATTATTACTCTATTCAATGAACACAAAAATTGTTAGCAGCTACATTACAAAGTTTCAACTATTATATTGCTTTTTGTATCAATATTGGACTATAATAGGGAAATGATTGGAGAAGACGTAATAGAATTAAACATAATGACATTTTCTATGAACAAAGCCATCAAATTACCTGTGCCACTGTTGTGTGATTGCATTCCCGACATATTACATTTTACAACGTTAAATAGCGTTCCAAAAAATATGTAGGTAGTTTCACACGTACAAAAAATTGCTAAATCAGTGATAAGAGCGAGTCTGCGAGTCACAATAGATCTTCAAGGTCGCTGTGACTACAGTTCCTCAGGGAACTTTATAGCCCCTTACAAGAATAAATAATAAGTCTGAGCTTAGCATTCGTCAATAATATTTGTGATCTATAAAAGTTGCTAACAATGAGTACTCGTAGCAGCAAAACATACAAAATGGACACTAGAACTACTACTCAACAATTATTTTTCATTATCCGACGTATATCCATGAATCTTTGCTGAGACAACTGAGCGCCATAAAGTCATCTCTCTCACGTGTTTTGCTTCTTTGATATTCATTTTTCTTTTTATTTATATTGTTGGTTTTATATTTTTTAAGTTGCGGAAGTAGGTGCGAAATATTCTAAATAGATTTAAAAGACGATGATAGATAATTCTTTTTGGATATTATTATATTGCTATATAAATTTAAAAAATCTCGCAATTTGAACAAGAAAGAATTCGAATATTAATTTTAAATGGCCAAGGAAGAAATATTCCACAGATTTCAACTACATGTTTCGGTTAAGTTTTATAAATATTTCTTATTATTGCGACCTGTGATTGCGACCAAATGCGTAGGCCGATTTTGATGATTCTAACGTCAATCGATTCATCTTAACCTTGCGAATGACACTAAAGACATGACAGTAATCAAAATTCACCACAGCGACAACCAGACGCCATATTATCAAAATGAAAAAAATAAAAATCAATGAACTGTGTCAAGTGGGGTGTCATTAAATGGGTATTTTAAAATCATCTTTAGGTTCCTTTTATCATTTTTCATTTTAAATAATAGTTAAGGATATATAACGATTTAAAATTGTTTAACAAAACATTCTCGCTAATTTTCTTATTGATTAAAGTTTTATTCAAAGTATAAACGATATACAAACAAAAAAAAAAGCAGTGAAAAAGCATGAAGAACAAATATTTTTGGTAAAACAATAAATCATATGTAGCTTTAAGCCGAGTTAGGTCTCTAGAGGGACTAATCATCAGTAGTTTAGACCACCGCAAGTTACTTAATAATCCCCACGATATTAAATCCCTCAATGAAATAACTTGATTGCGAAATTTACCATCTTATAACGAAGTCAACGAATCGTAACTAAAAAGTATAAAATAAAAATAAATAATTTAAAGTAAAACAAAAATCCCGACTGCGTGAAAACGAATTTAAAAAAATACATGAAAGAATTAACATAAATAAAAACTAAAAAGAAAGAAACAGGCCCAATAGTTTACAATTCTGTTAAGTAATACAGAACAGAATGACTCATAGTCGGGCCCCTTGGGAAGATTTGATTGGTAAAATTTGAATGGGTATTTTTTTAAATTAGTTTTTACGCAGTCGGGATTTTTCTTTTTTTTATTGGATCTTAGACATAAATCATAATGTTTATAATTATAGATAAATTAATCTTACATTAAAAACAAAACAGATATAACTGTTTTGTTATATAATGTCACTATATACTTATAATTATATAGAACGCATTATTTTGAAATAAGCAAGGCAATTTTATTTTTATGCAGTTAGTACTACAACGCAACTACGATAATTTCCAATGAAGTAGTATTTTAAGAATAGTATAAATCACTAAAAAAGCATCTCACTAGTTGTCGACTCTACCAAAAGTTGTTTTATGTGGGAAACAAATGGACCAAAGATAGTCATTTCCATTCCTTTTAACTAACATATTAAAAAATGGAAATTTGCAAAGATCGAAACTTCGAAATCAATACAAATACTAAAAAGTACAAATAGAATATGAGTTGTTTATTAAGTTTTAAAAATTAATTTACTTTTGATCATGAAAGAAAATTGAAAGGGTTGTCATGGAGAATAATAAAATAAATTGTGTAGCTTAAATAATTGTTTTGACGACCCCATTAATCCGATTTCAAAATACTCTTGGAAGAGTTTTTTTTTATAATTTTGTGTAAATACATACTTAAATATTTATTTATTAAATTATGTAAAATCAAAATGTACAGCAATTTCTTATTTTATTAATAGGGGTAAAATTTTACAATTAAAAACGTTATAAATTGAAAAAGAATTATATTCCATTTATTTTATTTACGTTCACTATTAGTAGGAATAATGTTTAATGTTTTTCTAATTCTACTAACTTGTTAACGAGGGAGTATTTAACATTAGTTCCCGAAATCAAACTAGATGTCGCTACGGTACGTTATTGATTTTTCAAATTTGAGTATTTTAATATGTCAGTTGAAAGGAACGGAAACAACTATCTTTGGTCCATTCGTTTCCAGCAAAAATCAATTGTAGTATCTACCATTGTAGTATCTATAGATATAAAGTATCTTTATATTTGTTTTTTCCATAACGACATATCGATATAGCTGTTACTTCTTAATCGATATATATCGATGTATATGTGTTTTACGATTTATCGTGGCATCCCTATACATAAGAGTTTATTTGGTTTTTATCCTTCATATTCTGTGAGGGTGTATATACCTATATATGTAAATATATTTCTATAGTCTGTGATATGCATAAAAGCCATAGCTAGTTAGTCTATATCATTTTTCAACAAAATCTCCGAAAGATTACTGCAAAATGAGAAGGTACGCTTTTCATAGAAATTACATTTTTTTATGCTAAGTAGTGGCTACCGACAGAACATTTATAACAACATCAAATCCTAAATTGCGGATCTAAATTTGAAAATTTGTATTGGTAATTTCGCTGTCAACTATTTTTGATCTACAACTTAAAGTTTTAACTTACAATATAACAATGCATTAGAATTGTGAGATATAAACTTTCACTGGATTAATAATTACACCCTTTTCCCTATTTT